TTTAGATGAGCGATCCACATCCCTACATGGAGCTTTTAAACCAAAAACACCATATAACTGGCTTAAAATAAATCCAAAGGAAGGGCTTTCCTGAAAACAAATGACTGATTTGATCCACTTCTGTCTCTTTTTTTATACTTTGAATCATATAATACAAAGTTTTTTTTGTGTGTTTGAAATATTACCACATGGATTTGATTTAAAAAAGACTTTTTTTTCTATTTCAGATTTCGACATTTACGCCTTAAACAAAGAAAACTGAGAGATTATGTCAGTGAGATGGTGGACCTCCCAAAGGTAAATGCCAGCTGGAACATTTAGTTACTGTTTCACATCAAAGTAAAATAAACCACACATTTCTCTTGTGTTCTTTATTTCTGATCATTGTCCAAATCATTTTTGAGCCAAGGATATTAAAAGTAACCACTGTAAAGATAGTACAGTCCTCTTGATCAAGTTACATGGAAAATAAACCGAGAGTTAAACATTGAGGCAAGCATTGAGGCTAAATTATAATTCAGTATAAAGCTGGATGTTTTTGCTCTATGGAAAATATTCAAGGAAATCAGTAAACAAATAAAAGCTGTTTAACAGTATAGGTTATGGGTGCACAACTAAAGCCATTTAAAAGGGAACAAAAATAAAACAGACAGAAAAGCAGACTACAAACACAGATAATGGCTTTGTTTATTAGTGGTTGAAAATACAGCTTTCAGTAAACTAAATGTTTATTGAAAGCTTCTTTCAATATATATATATTTTTTAAATCCATTAGCTTAAATGCATACTACAATATACTGCAAGTATTTATGCAGGTTTTTTTTAGATCTTCCCTAAATGTTCAATCTAATTAAAAATGTGGATTCTGGTTCAAACTCATGAATATTCAAAGAGTTGTCCTGAAGTTATTCCTTTGACATATCTGACAGAAGAAACAATTTGCCCAAATCTGAGGTCAGCAGCCTTTTGGAGCTGGGTTTCATCCATGTTTCTGTATTCTGATGCGATCATCTTCCATTCTCAGCTAGTCTTTCAAATTTGGCCCTAGAAACGATCCTCATTGCATGATGCCTCCACCACTCTGCTTTTCTGTAGGGATGGTATTGGCCAACTGATAATCTGTGTCTGGTTTAATCCATAAAAAATGTCTGAAATACATGGCAAATTAACCTTTACCTCATCAGACTAAAGGATCATATCTTTGATGGTCTGAGAGTCCTTCAGGTGCCTTTTGGCAAATTTCAGACAGACTGCCATGTGCCTTTTATTAAGGAATGGCTTCCATCTGGCCGCTCTACCATGCAAGCCTAATTGGTGGATTAGAGCAGCACTGGAGCACTACAGACTCAATAAAGCCTTTCTCCCTGGATCCCTTAAGTTTGACAGCAACCAAGGTCCAGGGGAGTCCCTTAGTTCTGAACTTCTTCTGTGCCACTGCGCTCAAAGTAACCTTTAAAGCTGGAGAAATGTGTCTGTTCCCCTCTGCAGATTATTGACTTGACAATACAGACAGTTCCTTTGAGTTTATGCTGGGTTTGTCCACTGACACAGACTGTCAATTGCGAGAGCTTGCATAAGCAGGTGTGTTTTTTAGGGGGAAATCTTGTACAACGGGTGTCTTTAATCCTTTTACTCAGAACCACACCATCCTGTATGTTTCAAATGTCTTTTTTTCCCAGCATACCTAAATCAAATGATTGTGTTCCACCTTCAGCAGCAGCAGAGGCCTGATAATCACCCACATATTTAATTATGGATGCAAGAGAATGTCTAAAACAGACTAGGTGTTTCCTGAGGATCAGGATTAAAGTCTACAAATTGATGCCAATTGATGATAATTGATGACAATTGACGATCATGTGAAACAGGATGCACCTCAGCTCAGTTTTCTTTTTTTTTTTTATTATTTTCATTCTTCTATGAGAAAATCACATATTCATTATGTGGTGTTAGTTTGAGTTTTGAAAAAAAAAAAAAGAATTAAATACATAATGGAACAAGAATGTCCTATAGTCTTACCTCAAAGCACTGTTATTATGAAATTGCTCACAAATAAAAAAAAACATTAACGTCTATATTTGTGTTGTACATCTGATTTTATCAGATGCAGATGATCATGTGTGACCTCAGCGCCAACTGGAACAACTCTTACAGAGAACTGGAGCAGAGGATCCTCTTCATGGAGCAGAAGCTGGACCACCTGACTCGCTGCTTCCAGCAGACATCGGAGCTGCTGTCTGAGGTCCTACGTCACAGAAACCCAGAGATCAGGTAAACGGTATTTACAGTTGCTGGCGATGAGGCTGCTGTTGCACAGAACTGCTGATAACACATGGCAGGATGTGGTAGCTGAGCTGAACTGGAACACCCCAGCTTTGGAAGATAGAAGAAGTTTGTTTTGTTTTTCATTCCATTTCCTTTCCTTCTGCAGGTGACATGGCTGCAAATGCTTTTTTCACAAAGTGTCTGTAACATTTCCTTCTGCTGCAAGGATCAGGGGCAGCCAGGGCAGCTGCAGAACTGTTACAAAGCAGAGGAAACATCTCATCCAGTTCAGTGCTGCATGCGTTGCTCAGTGACTAAAGCAGAAGAATTACAGAGGAATTTTTCTGCTGTAGAATTATCTGAATAAAATATTGGGAAGTCTGCTACAATGTGTGGCAAAAATATTTGTTATTGTGCTTAGAAAACTTATTGAAAAGAACTGAGATTAGATAATCTAAATGATTTTTGTATGAATAATTATCACCTTATTCCTGTGGAATTAAAGGTTTTATATTTGTATTTTATTTTTGAGGTCATTTTCATATATTCTTTTTATATTTTAGAAAAAAACCTCATACCTTTTTCTGTATTTTCAAGTTGTTTAATTCTTATACCAATGATGTCTATTTCCAAAAACTTAGATTTGGACATTTTATCAAGTGTTATGGTGTTATTTACATGGCTCTATTTACATTTGTTCTGGTCATCTTGTGCTAATGTATTTAAAAATGTTCTGCAGGACAAAAAATCGATTAGTCCCCAAGAAGTGGGAGTAGATTTTTAGTGTTCAATAAATATCAGAACGATCATGCAGATAACTCTAAATATAACACAGCAGCTGTCTGATTAAACATGTAGGGCTTTTCCTGTTTTGTTTAAGAAAGCCAATGGTTCCACCTAGTGGTCAAGTGTTGATTAAACAAGATTTTTTGTTACCTTTGCAGTACAGAATGTACTCACAGGTTAGTAATTTCTCTCACCTTTAATCTCACCTAAGAACTTTAACTAATGGATATCAACACAAAGATTTCATCCAAAAATTTACAACAGATTTTATGAGATGTTTTTTTTTGTTTGTTTTTATGAATTTTCAAATGACACAGGTGGTAACATTTCAACAGTAAATGCTATTTCACTACTTTTTTGGTATCTAGATAACATCACATCAGTTTTGTCTCAAAAACTGCGAAATGTCACTGATTAATCATGCATTAAATATACTGTTGATTTTCCAGACACTGCTCAAAGTAACAGATCAGAGATGGTTATATTTGTCACAAAGCTTTAGTTAATTTCCTACTTAACAACATTCACTGGGTTCCATTAATGTAATTGCATCTAGGCAAACAAATATCTTAAAACAAAAAATTTGCATATGCTTTTCTTGACAACTGTGCAAAAAAGATACACTAGACTTTTGATTTAAATGCATTGATTTAAATCTTTGCTGCTCATGTTGACTTTTATTTTTTATTTTTTTTAGTGTGTGGAACCTAATGTTACTTAGTTTACTTTAAATAATCTTGTGTGAAGAAAACAAAACATCCAAAACTGGACAGATGCCAAAAACAAAGTTAAGTTAGAATAAATATATTTTTACTTTTGCTGTGGTCTTCTATGTCATCCATGCATGTTTTAGGCAGACCAGGTGATTACGTCAAACACTTGCAGTGAAAAACATTTTTTTCCAATGATTTTTGTTTTATATTACTGAATATTGAACTGAAATGTAGGTGTTCTTTTTTTAAATGAACACCTACATTTGCTCATTTGTTTTTTAAACAAATGAGCAGAAGTTTAAATGTGCTGTGCCTTTTTTTTTATGTCTAATTTAATAAAAACTGATTTTAAGAAATTATGCATTTTGTTATATTTTTAGCCAAAGCACCATATTAACCTTCTACTCTAAGAGACATTCTTTCTAGTATTCACTTCAATGGCGTTGCCTCTAGAGCCTCACCAACAACTACTGATTAATTTGTGATCTATGGACAAAATTTTCCAATTAATTAATGTTTTTTTAAAAACATGGGAATATAATTTATTCATATATTTAGAATTACAAAAACATTTAACTTCTGCATTGCACTAAATAACTGATACCTGTTTTACAATTCTAAGATGAATAGCATGTATTGTGTGTCACTGCTGACATGACTAGTTAATTTAATTTTGCAAATATAGCAAAAAAGAAACTAATATTCAAAACCAAAAGCTTTGAGGTGACTAGTATTTGCATGATTTAACAGCTTTTCTTTAGATCTGATCTAGAAGTAATGAACACAATTAGGTTTGATTAAGGCTGGGTGAAAAAAATAGTTTCAGTATAAAATCTGGACAGAGGCAGCTAATGACACAAAACAACAGTCTGGAAACCTCAGGAAACAAATAACATTTATTTTCATTTTAAATTCTTCTCATAACTCTTGGGTCAATCTCTATTTTTTACTGGGGATCTGCTGCTGTTTTTTGGTAAAAAACAAACATGTAACTTAACATACCAGTATTGATGTCAGCTGTGTGTTTGTCTATGTGTAACATCTCATCACCAAAGAACAAAGCTTTATAACCAAGCATCACAGTACTTGGTAAATAAAGCTTGTTTTTCTGGTTCTGATTTCAAACTTAAAAGGCGTGGCTCAACATGGAATAATTAATATACCATATCCACCTTTTTCTGTTATGTGGAAATATTTCTGTTTATTATATTAATTAAAATGTTATATAAAGCCTAACAAATAAAAACACAAAAATTGCAGTTTTTTTAATGAAGCACTTTATTATAAAGGTGATGAAAACCTCAAACCCATGCAGAGCTGTGTTTGACAGAACAGGAGAAACCAAAACCAAATACGGACAAATTGTAACCCCTTTTGATCAATAGTGGTATTTTAAATAAAAAATAAAACAGAACTTATTTTTTATGGGATATCTCATTTCTTCAGTGGCTCTTTGTTTCAGCTCTGTTTCTTATTTGGTGCCATATGTAGGCCGAGGGCCTCAAAAACACCAGGCCGCAGATACACATAAAAGGCATCCTGCACTTTCTCTCCCTACTTTCTTTCACCCTCTCTCCACACTGAGACTGTTTCCACTGTTTGCCTGTTAGGTGCCGTGTTAAATGTTTTGCTCCGGAGAAAGTGTCCCCGCAGCCAACGCAGATGTAGCTCAAAGCCTCAGCGTGCTGAACGCAGTGCCGCAGGAGATGCAGCTGGTGCCTAAAAGCTCGACCGCACTGGCAGAGGTGTGAGCGCTGGCCTCGATGAAGGTAGCGGTGGCTGATGGCGAAGGAGGGCTGCCGGAAGATGGCGCCGCACTGCCTGCAGGGACAGGGGGTCTTGGAGCGCCATCCTGTGTTCATCCGCTTCATCAGATCCCACTGTCGGCTCTCATTCTCAAAAAGGGCTAGGATAGAGAGCGTTGTTGGAGCGTCTACGTTCGAGTCCTGAGTGTCTGGAGCTTCGTCGACACAGAGATTCCTGCTAACAGCTTCCTTCTGTGCATCTCCGGCTTCTGTCAATGACGATGAACATGCAACAAAGATGCGTTTGGTTTTGATAACAGAAGAGTGAACTTTGGTGAGATGGATTGACAAAGTTTTATCAGAGGAGAAAAAGGACTTGCATAAGTTGCACGCTTTGGGCATCGACTCAGAGCAGAAGAGCACCAAAGTGGATTTGGCTCCTCTACACGGGTGCTGGTTGAATGAGTTCTTGGTGGGAAGTACCTGCCCACAGCTGTGACATAAATACAGAGGCATGTGGTGTTCTCGGAGTGTCTCCTCACTAAAAAAGAAAAGCTTGCACAAAATGCACTGGAACTTTTCCTGCACCCCATGGCAGTAAAGCAAATGCCGCTTCACGGACCTGAAGGGTCCCCGGCCACACTTTTGGCAGGTTACTCCATTTTCAATGGGGGGAGGTAGAGCTGCTTCCTCCGAGTCAGAACTGTTGGAGGTTTCAGAGGAACTCTCATCAGATTCCTTTTCTATGTCAGAGTTCTCATCATTTTCACCTACGGTATATTCCACGCTGTATTCAGCCGTTTTGTGATTCATCTCCAAAGATGAGCGAGCACGACTTAGAATAGCGCCCTGTTGCTCCTTCCTTTCTCGTTCTTAGCTGGCAGCAAAAGACTGGCGGGACAACAAGCGGAGGGCTGAGTAGTCTGCATCATCCAGGTGAGTGGAGATAGACCTCCAGTGATGGTAACAATTCCTGAGGGTTTGGATTCTGTGGTGGTAAAAACGTCAAATCAAGCTGCTGATTCACTCATCATGTAGATTTGATCCACAGCTGGAGTAGAAGCACGGAGCTGGTCATGCATTCGCCACTTTCCTGCCAATTTAACACAGAAGATCTAATTAGTTTTAGAAACAAAAACATATTTAAAACATACATATTGAATTCAAAACGTGAATGTTATAAATTAAAAGATAGGTTGATTAAACACATGTGATATATTTCCAATGTTCTTTTTTTCCTACTTTTTTTGGCTGATATCGGACCAATTTGTCGATTTTGGCCAAAAAAGTAAGATCAGATTATATCAGCCTTCATGTGAAACCTATATATATTAGCACACTGATAGAAACATTCTGCTTCTGTTTAAAAGTTTATATAACCCATTAGTTATTAATAAATCGGTCAGTTGATCTCAAACCTATTATTCTGTTGTTCTCTATTCTAGTAATATTACTTCATCAAGCCTTTTCTAATAGTTCACACTACAAGACATGTAATAAAAGTATATGTAATTTGCCTTATTGAGTCGTTAAGACAGTGGATACCAAGCTTTTGGACTGGTGCCAGCAAAACTATCTGATGCTTTAAATGCAGGGAGGTGCAGGACCACCTCATTGACCCTGTTGAGCATTCAGGGAACTGGTGATGAGAGAGGGATCTCTTAGGAGTTTGCTTCAACAACAAATGGAGCTGATTGTTACAGGATGCCTCAGAGGAGACTAAGGTCATCTGGGACTTTAAGGAATGTATATCTCTAGGACGTCTCCATCACATGCATGGAGCTTTTGGAGAACTGCAGAGCTGTTTCAATAACAGAATGCTGAACCATAGTTCAATCTGGAAAAACTCACATGAAGAGAAAAGACAATTAGGAGAAATGTATGGATACAATTACTTTGTCTTTGGCGCTCAGACCTCGGCAGGAAACATAGCGCTTCATTTTGATAGATATGCGTGAATAGGAGTAAAGAATAGGGCTGTTCCCCTCCCAGGCCTGAAACTGGTAGTGGAGTGGAGTGGAGATAGATGAAGTTGGTCAGTCTGTAGACTGCTGGTTAGTGAG